ACAAACATTCATTCCCTCACAGTTTTGAAGACTGGAAGGTCAAGGTTCCTGCTGATTTGGTTCCTGGTGAGGGTTCTTTTCCTGGCTAAGGGACAGATCTCTTGTTGTTTCTTCATGCGGCAGAGAGAGATCTCTTCTGTCTCTTCTAATAAGGGCACTAATCCCATTCATGAGGCTCCACCCACATGATCTAATTACTCCCAAAGGCCCTGCCTCTAAGAACCATCACACTGGGGATTAGGGATTCAGGGCATGGGGTGGGGGAAGGGCACAAACATGTGTTCATAGCATGCAGTGACCCAGTGGGCCAGATGGCTGGCTCTGTCTTCACAGTTACTGCATTTTAGAATAAACCAGGTGACTTGAAGCATCATAAATTGGTAAATCTGCTATTGACCTTCTGGAGARCTTCTTTTTCCTTCTGACCACAACCTCTGGTAAGAGTGTTCTCTGGATACATGGCCTCCATCAGAGCAGAGGGAGAAAGGCAGCCGGTGGTCTTTAGTGTTTAAGAGCCAATGTTATAATTGCCCTTAAATCCTTCCCTTTGTGGGGACTCTCCTGAGAGGTGCAGAATATCCACCCCACCCAGACACCCCCAGCTCCATGCACAGACCACATATATGCTGCAGAGAGAGATGCCAGGGACATTTCCTTTGTCTAGTTTAGCAAAGACTAACAGGGAAAGCTGTAGGGAGGAGGTGCTAATGAGGTTACAGGGGGAGGTGGGGAGCAGCAGAATGAAGGTCWACAGTCAACAGCCAGAGGGGATTGGAAGGGGTTGGGCATAACTTGGAAATGTAGAAATGTGTGGGAGAATTGATGACCACGGAACTGCTGGTGTCACCCTTGCCGGCTCTGATCTCTGGATGGAAAGACTCCATTTTAAACCAACACCTGCCAAATTAGTTAGTGTCCGGCTTATCCTTCAATCCCTTAGTGAAGCAGTTGCCTCTCTCCCCCAGTAGGCTGAGTTTCTTGAGAGCAGAGCCTGTGTTTTTGCCAGAGTTGTCTCCAGTGGAAAGGAATGAAGTTATGAACTATTATACCACACACAAATGTTCATTTTCAAAAGCTATTCTCCAAATGCACTTAGGTAGGGAATATGTTAAGCAATTGTGCTACAATATTATCCACATAAGCCAGCGCAGGCCTAGAGGGTCCCAAGGCTTGGGTGAACCGGACAAGTTGAAGCCCCACAGGTGGTTCTGATGACAGCAGGCCACATCATTCCCTGTAACTAGAAGTGGCCCAGGAGGCAAGGGTGGAGCTCACCATGCCAGGTTCAGTCAGGCCTCCAGGGTGGGTTATGATTTACACTGAAGTATTTCTACTGGGTAGCTGAAGATCTGGGGACTGAGTGACCCCACTTCCATACTGGCAGCATGGTTCAAAGCTAAGAGTGTAGGCACTTGTGTTCATCTGTAGAGCTGGATGACAAAATGCCATAGAAAGGTGGCTGAACAGAAATGTTTTCTCACAGTCTGAAGGCTAGAAGCCTAAGGGTCCATTTCTGGTGAGGACTGTCCTCCTGACTGGTAGATGACTGTGTCCTCAGATGACCTTTCTTCTGTTCACATTCATGGAGAAAGAGAGAGGATACTCCAATGTCGCCTGCTCCAAGGTCACTACTCACATCAGATCAGGGCCCCACCCTTAGATTCATTTAACCTTAAATTCCTTAAGGGCTGCATCTCCAAATGTAGCCAACTGCACTGGAGGTTAGGGATATTCAGCATATGAATTTGGGGATGAGGAGAGACAAACCTTCATCCCATAACTGCTCCAAAGACAAACTCTCTTTCCATCTCTACTCTTATAAACTTTATCTTAAGGAAGTTTCTTAACTTTCCTAAGCCTCAGCATCCTCTTGGTAAAAAAAATGGAGTGGTCATGGTGCTGTCCGGGGCATTGTAAGGATTAAATAAGATAGTGCATATATGGGCTTAGTGAAAGGTCTCATGAATAGGAGGTGCTTAATGACCATAAGTTAACATTATTCATAAGGTCCTCTCTGCTTTGAGATGAGTTACCTCTGCACTAGTTACAGGAGTGCAATCCAGCCTGGATTTCTAGGACTAGTCCAAGCCTGTGGGAATGGGATCCCTGGGCCAGGGAGGTCCCAGAACTTTCCTCTATTCTTTAGGGGAACCAACCCTCTTTTGCGCCAGGTTAACCTTCTGAGATTTCCGGCAGGAGCTGGAACAGGTGGTGGCAGTCCAAGGGCCAAGAGAAGGGGAGTAAGTGCTGGGACTGGTGGAACAGCTCTGTCTCCTCCCAGAAAGGATGTGGCAGAAGGGACGGCACCAGTTGGACCTGAGTGAAGGCCATTGGATTCCTTCTGGTTTCTATTTAGCTTAAAAAAGGGAAAAGCTCTTTAACATAAATGCTCAGACTAACCCAAGTTTATTATATAAATTTTTGAAAACATAGGAACTTATGGGCTGGGGATGTGGCTCAAGCGGTAGCGCGCTCGCCTGGCATGCATGCGGCCCGGGTTCGATCCTCAGCACCACATACCAACAAAGATGTTGTGTCCGCTGAGAACTAAAAAATAAATATTAAAAATTCTCTCTCTCTCTCTTAAAAAAAAAACAAAACAAAAATAGTAACTTATGAAGACCATAACAATCATCCCCGCCTCTTGTATGCAGAGTTAACACTTCCAACTTCTTTTGCAGCCAGACAGACCTGGTCTGAAACCCACACCCCCTCCTGGAGTTGTATGACCCTTAGTTGGCTCTTGTTTCCTATTACTTTTCAAATTCTGTTTCCTGCTCCTCTAATGATGCGAACATTTACCCCCCTCCCTTGTTTCCATTTTGTAGAATTGCTGTGTAGATAAAATGCATGTGTAGTGCTGGGTGTGTGGTATTGAGAGCCATTGCTCTTGCTTCTCTTGAAGATGATGCCCTTGGCTTTGATTGGAGTAGCAAAACTCAGTCATTACTATACCACACACTTCCTGGTTCTGCACCAGGCATGTGCTGTGAAATGGAAGCAAACCAATGTTGTTATTTCCAACAGGGACTTAAGAACTATGCTCCTTTTACCCTGAAACTGTTCTGGAAATGTAAGGATTCATATTTGCACAGAGGATCAGATGTGTGTCCTCTTTCAGCAACCCCTGCCACTATCATCACTCCCCTCTTGTGATGCAAACTGAGAACTTGGACCTGTGTTTTCATAGTCACACCTGAGCGTGGCTTTGGAATAACAGAGAGAGAGAGAGAGAGAGAGAGAGAGAGAGAGAGAGAGAAGGAGGGAGAGGGAGAGAGAAGATTTGGTCAGAGTAGCTTTGTCCATCATCTGAGAACCCAACCATTTCAAAATTATTGCTTCTGAAATTAAGTCTCTGGTTTTCAGATCATGAGACAAAAGATCCTCAGAAATATGCCCAGTTTCCATCAATAAACAGACTTGTGGCTGTGGCCATCCCAATTCTTCCCAGTCTCTCCAGCTCAACTCCTCCCATGGCCTCTCTGCCCTTCCACACCAGGGAGCAGATCTCTTCTCCCCAGAGGTCAGAATGATACCTTGCAAAGAGCAGGTGTTCATAGGGTACAACTATCACTCCCAGCTACCTATCTTGTTTCCCAGCGCTCCCCTGCGCAGTGCCCCAAGGGCCAGCCTGTCTGAACTGCAGGAGCACCTGGTGCTCAAGGCTCGGAGGGCCCTGAAAGCTTCTTGGTGTTGAGATTCCATGCGCTCCAGCCTGGCCCACTTGGCAAAAGAATAAGCCAACTGCTTAAGCCAACTGTGTCCATGAGAGCAGGCCAAGAGCAGAGAGCAGAGAGATGATGTGTCTGTCTCCTTTCAAGAGGAGTTCCTTCCACAGGTCCTCAGGCCTCTTCATCCTGGACACTTGCCTGGTGGAAGACAAAATGAAGCGACGAGAATGAGAGACAATATGTTCACAGTTATTTGTTGTATTCAAGAAGTTGACCATTATCCTAGACAGAGATGCCAAATAGCCCAGGAAACAAATATGGAATCGGCCTACTCAGTGCCTTAACATTTTGGTTGTGTCAGAGTGCAACAAGAAGATGAGGTTATTCATTCGATTATTCACCAGTTTCAAGTGTCCTCTAAGAGAGGCTGGGGATGAAGAGGAGGTAAAGGCAAAGGTCACCGATACCATTTGGCCTTGAGGGTCTCAGTCACTTGGTGGGGACAGAATCCAGAGCTGTAGAAGCATTTAATCCCATGAAGACCCAGAGAATCAGTGAAAGCTGCTTAGAAGAAGAGACGGTTGAATTGAGTCCTAAAGAATGAGAAGTTTGCTGGGTATAGAAGTGGCCTTCATTCAACCCCCAAATCTCTGGGGGTGGGGCTTGGCCACAGGTGTTTTCAACAGCTCTCAGAAGAGCTGACCATGCAGCCGGCTGTGGAGCCCCATGGGGGAGGGCAGCCTTCTGGAGGCCCACCCTGAGGCGTGAACTGAGAGGGTCCATCTGAAGAATGCTGTGAATTAGGCAGCTGGGAGGGCTGGAGGATCTGGCTGAGACTTGCCCCAGGAGCCTCTGACGTCTCGGGACAGACACCACGGAGCATAGTAGAGACACTGGTCATGTAAGACCTGCTCGTTGGCTTGGCTACTTGGTAGACATAAAGTCCTTGGCACTTTGACTTTCTCATCTGTAAAATGCGACTCCTGGAGTTATTTGGGGAGCTAAAATGAGATAGTAGATACGAAAGTGCTTTAGAACTCACACAGCATTTCTGGAAGGTAAAAATGGTATTTTTGTGGGCCCCAGCTTCCCCTTTACTGCCACTGTGTCATGAGTCCATTGTGAGGTCATTGGGAGGCTCATGACCCCCAGTTGGCTGTTGGACCAGTTTTCTGAGGCTCAAGAGTAACTTTCTCCCCATTTCTGCTCACCTTGACCACAGAGTTTGGCTCTAGGAAGGGGTGACTGAAGTGTGGCTAGGAAGGAGTGGGCCTTAGTGACTGTGAAAGGAACTTTGACCTTGACTGGTTCCCCTGTCACCTTCCATAGGAACATGCTTGCCAATTCAGCCAGCGTGCGTATTCTCATCAAGGGAGGCAAGGTGGTGAATGATGACTGCACCCATGAGGCCGATGTCTACATTGAGAACGGCATCATCCAGCAGGTGGGCCGAGAGCTGATGATCCCCGGAGGGGCCAAGGTGATTGACGCCACTGGGAAACTGGTGATCCCTGGAGGCATCGACACCAGCACCCACTTCCACCAGACCTTCATGAATGCCACCTGCGTGGATGACTTCTACCATGGGACCAAGGTAATGCTCCTGTTTGCCAAAAGTGGCTTCTTTATTCTGCTCCTGGGGCTGCTCCAGATGAAACCCTGATACCATTTGGCCTTGAGTCTCAGTCACTCAGTGGGAACAGAAACCAAAGTAGATGCTCCCACTCTGTTACTACCAAAAGAAAGGTGTCTCTAGGGGCTTTTATGGCAACTAGGGTAGGGATTTCCACCTACTTGTCTCAGACAGTTTAAAAGACAGAATTTAAACCTGTTTGTTGATTGCATTACCATGTACCCAGGCCAGGAACTGATTGTATTTTCATATGTTTAAAAAAAAATTTTTTTTCACAACACTGGGAATTGAACCCAGGGCCTCATGCATGCTAGGCAAGTGCTCCAGCTCTGAGCTACAACCCCCCAACCCTTTTTAAATTTTATTTCATAAGGGGATCTCACTAAGTTGCTGAGGCTGGCCTTAAACTTGCAGTCCTCCTGCTTCAGCCTCCTGAATAGCTAGGATTACAGACAGRCATGCACCATGGCACCCAGCTATTTTTATATTTTTATGTCATGTTACACAGAACTAGAGAAAGAAGAGGATCAGCTGTGTTTATTATTGTGTAGGAGGGAAGAGTTGGCTTGGTGGACTTGTTTATGCATGATAAGCTAAATTGAATCCCCAAAGTGTGACAGATTATAAAATCACCTCTCTAGTTGCTTTTGATAGCAGAAATCGTGAAAAAGCCATAGTTATCTTCTGTTTTCTCTCCTAGCTTGTTTGTTGTTTGTATAAATGACTTAAAAAATACTGATTGTTCTCTTTTTAGTGTGAGTTATCAGGAACAATATTTAATTGGGCTGGGTCTGAGCTACTGTATGTTCCTGAATGCAGAGGACAAAAATTCAAGCCTGTGAAACAGGAATCAGGAGCCACACAGATGGGTTCTTTCACTCTTTGTGCTCCAAACCTATCATTGATGTCTTTCCTCTTCATCATAATGATCTGTCACATTCCAGCCTCTTCCTGGACGTCAGACAGCGGGAACATGCAGGGCAAAGCCTCTGCATTCGTCAGCTTTCCTGGAGCCCGCACTGACCTGGAGCCTAGCTGCCCGTGAATATTTGTAGAATGAATGGGCAAATACTGCAYATCCAGATGGCTGTCTACACCCAGGGAGCGTCAGATTCATCTAGGAAGTTGTTTTCAAACACAGAACTGAATCAGAATCTCAAGGGCGCAAGTCTCCAACCCTGGCAGCAGTTCCTTATGCTGACTATTTACAGTGGGCTTGGCCTCTAATGCTCCCTGGGTGAGAGGAATTCACCAGTTCTTGGTCCTACATAGGCTGACAGCCTCAAACCCCCACCCCTCGTGGCCCTGAAACCTAAAATCCTACTAGTACTCTATCTGGGGTTAGGGTCGTTGTCAGAGAACCCTTCCCCTGTGCCCAGGGATTTCCCCCTGGGATTCATTTCTTGGGGGCTCAGGTGTTCCTGATGCTAGGCAGCAGCTGATGAGGCCCCTCAAGGCCACCCTTGAGGAGTCTGGCTGGGACTGTACGTATAGGAGAGGCTGGCCCCTATGCACCCATCTGCCCCAGGTAGGTGGCCTGACAGTCTCCCTGAGGTAAGAACACGTTCTTCCCCCGTCCAGGATCTGCAAAATAGACCCTCGGAAGGTTGAGCTGTGAGGAGTCAGGACCCAATAGCCAGGAACCAATCTGAGTTGGGGTAAGGACATTCYCTGGCCTCCGAGAGCACACCTGCCCTCTCTTGTCAAGCCCAGGGAAGTCAGGCAGTGGGAAGATCCTCCTCCTCTCCTCTGAGAACTCCCTTGGACCCTGCAGGTGATGTCTTGCTAATGAAGTGGGTGACCCCATCCTCATAAACTGGGGTCCTCTTGGATGGTACCCAGGTGGTAATCAGTACCTTTTTAAAGTGAGTAAGCCTATCCAGCTTGCCGTCCTATGCACCAGGACAGGACAGGACAGTTTTATTTGTGGTTATTTTTGATGTCATTTTTGTTGAAATGTAGCCTGCATACAGAGAAGTGCACAGATATTAAGTATACAGAATTATCAAAACTGAACACACCCTTGTAACCAGCTCCCTGTCAATTAACCAAATGTTATTAGCATCCAGAAGCCCCTTCCAGTCACTGGTCCCCACCAAGGGTAACCACTATTCTAACTATAATCAGAATACTGTAGTATTTTTTAAATACCATAAGTTTTTGAAATCTAATTCACATATCATATACACCCATCTAAATTGTAGGAGCCAGGGATTTTTAGTACATTCATTACAGATCGGTTTGGAGTATCATTACTTTATGTGAATGAAATCAAGCCAGGTGTGCCTTTGCATTGACTTCTTTTGCTCAGATTCACCCATGTTGTTGTATGTGTGTGTTGTTTGTGGTTCTTTCACTCTCGTTGCTCTGTTGTATTCCACTGTGTGACAGACTACATGTACTTACCCATTCTGTTGTCTCTGGGCATTTACGTCCTTGCTGGTTTGAGGTTAARACATCGTGCTATGAACATTTTGTATACATCTTTTGGCAAACATGTATGTGCACAATTTGTTGGGCATATTCCTAGGAGTGGAATTAACAGGTCAAAATATGACACAAAATGTTCAGCTTCAGTGGATACTGCCAAACAGTTTTCCAAATTGTGACAGTGTATGCTCCCCGCAGTATGAAAGAAAGGCCACAGTATTTCACATTGACATGCCTCTGATAGTGAGTGACACCAGTCTATGCTGGGGTGGTATGCTGAGGCCTTGTACCAAAAAATGGTTAGTGTTCCTGCTTTGGGGGACCTTTAGTTCAGGGCCAGATGCCACGCTGTCCCTCTGCTGTCTACTGGCCTCATGGAGGGCAGCCTGGCCCTCTCAGTCTTATTTTCCACATTGTCATCTGCCAGAGCCTCATTAGCCAGGAGTTACAGGTTTTCCCCTGAGAGCCTTCAGCTCTTCAGAGCCAAAGAAGAGCTCTGCACAYAAATCTTTGTGCAAAATGGAGGGTAACTCTTGATCTTTTACAGGCTTCTCCACTGTTACTGGGGTTGGCTTCCTCCAGAAAACATTTGAAGGACCCTATGTGATTAAAGGCTCCAGACCTTCCAGTTTCTGCAGGTTTGGGCTGCCTTCATATCAGGCATCAGTTGTGCTGAATTTAGACCATAGACCACCCCCACCAAGCCACCTGATTGGTGGTGTCACCTAAACAGACTCTTTATTATATCCATCCCCTCAGCAAGATTGCATGTGTCTTTACRCCCCAGACTTCCTGTTGCCCAGCCCCTGAGCTAGCCTCCTGGACCCCTTTAGTAGACCTGCCCAGAGTCCTCCTCAGGCCTCCAAGAAGGATTCCTGCCCTTGCACCCTTCTGCCCTCCACTCCCACATGGCTGCTCCTACCACTCAACATTTTGTCTTCCCATTTCCTCTGGTTCCTGAAAATTTCCTGGGAAGAGAAAATGCTCTCCTGTTAGAACACTGGCTGACAGGGACATGTGGGTTTAATTATTCACTCCACCTTGGCACTTGTGCAGAGGCCATGTGCCCTGATAGACCGCCTATTCAGCTCACACCAAGAAAGTCTGGCTCACTTGAAGCATATTGTTATAATAGAAGAATGATCCCAAGGAAGAGCTCACTGAGCAATTAGCCAAGAGAGATGGAGGGATCACATCGAGTCTTTTTGTGCTTATCAGACAGATCCTCCGGGTCTTGAGCCTTGCACCCCCTCAGCTTTTGCGTACTTGTGGATTTGGCAGCAGCAGCCAGGGCTGGAAAAACAAAACAGTTGAGAGCCTGGCTTTGCCCAGAACATCTGGGTCTCCATTGTACTCAGCCTGAAGGGATTTCTCGCCAGCACTTTAGCAAACGCCTTCCATGCCGCAGCAGCCTCTGAGGCTGCGACAGGCTCTGCCTGGCTCCCCTGCTCACAGCCTGGTCACTTGATCGTCCGCCCTGCTCCAGGCACCACCTCCCTCTTCCCCTCTAACCTGCAGGCCTCGTCCTCCAAGGCCAGAAGCAGTGTTTACCGGGAGGTGCCAGGACCACCTGCTTGCTGATAATACAGACTCTCTTCTAGAAAGAAACTGTGGGGAGACAAGGAGAGGGGTACTGAGGGGATCCAGTGACCCACCTGTGTTGGTAAAGGCCTGGGATTATAGTCAAGTTGTGGGGACTTGACCTACATAGAAGTTAACATTTATTCTTTTGTACATATTTAATATTGCATCACAAAGAATGTTCATATGGGCTCTCGACTAGGGGTACTCATGGCCAGGTGGAAATACAGAATCAGTCCTTTCAGCTAGAGGCACTAGCCCCTTCACTAAGTCGGTAGAGAAGGAGCAGCCATAGACAACTAAAAAAATTCTGCATCCCTTCCCTGCCTCCCTCTCCTCCAAAAATATTTTAAGAACCACAGTTAGGCCAATGGTTTTCAACCCTTGGAAGCAAATTACATTAGAACCACTTGGGGGATTTTTAACAGATGTCAGTGTCAGGCCCCAGCCCAGACCAATTAAATCCATGTCTCTAGGCCTGCCTCCTCCCCCATAAGTATTTTTTAAAGCATCTCTGGTGATTCTGATCACTGGCCAGAAGATTATTCAGAAACTTTCTTGGTGTTTGGAATGGCCTAACAACCTGGCTGTACTATGGTGCCCATCTGACCCTCACCTTATATGCCAAGGCTGACACCTGAATCTCCTTTGAAMGTATAGGCCTTGCCTGACCTTTGCCTGTCTTATTTGCTTCTTTCTTTTCATTCACATTCCAAGACCCAAACCCCAGGCTAGGGCCTAGATCCCTTAGGCTTGCTAAGTGTCCCTGGCATGACGTTTGTCCTTCTTCCATACCCCCTTGGGTTCATCATGGTGAGAGAAGTTGGCAGTGGTAGAGGTGTCATCAAGTGGAAGATTGACTGGGGTTGGCCCACTTCCTGGAGGACCAGAGACAATCTATCTATCTAGTCTGTGCCAGGGGTTGTACAGTCTTAGAGACAGACAGCCTC